CTCCCGTTGCTCCTCGGTGAACCAAGGAGGCTTCCGGGTTCCGCCGCCTCGGAGGGGCCGTAGTGGCGCAATCCGGTTTTCATCTGGTTAGCACAGTATGAACCTTAGCCCTTCATTCACCATTGAGAGTCATTTTGCAGTAGGCAAATATCTGTGCCATGGACCAGAAAACATCCTCTGGTTTTGTTTTTGTTTCTGTATTTCTGTTTTAGGGGAAGTTGAAATCTTAGGGGGAAGAAAATCAGTGGATATTTCAGCTGGGAAATGAGACTAGAAAGAGAATGTGATGTCGCTTGACAGTGTCTTGTTCCTGACAGATAGTCATTTTAGCCGCTCCCAAAAATAATATTTATTCCACCTCATTTTGCATGATAGCGATAGCAAAGCAGGTTTTCCCATTTCCAGAACTATGTGACTGAGCTAGGCACGTATTTGTAGATATTTGTTTTTCCCTTCCAAATCACACTTTCCTATCTTTTAGCTTGCTCTTTCCATTGTCTCTGCTTTTTCTTTTCCTGCTTCCTTTATGCCTATCTCTGGTGTAGAAGAAGTAGCCATCTCTCTGCGGTACACCCAGATGATCCATGAAAGGCATCAAGAGGGAGATGGTACCTGATTCGACCACTAGTCCAAAGCTGATGGATTGCAGCAGATTGGAAAGCTAGCATCGGTTTCTCTTTTGTCATCATTTTTTCATCACCACCCTAAGTAATCCAGACTGTTTTACTACTCACGAGTTGCATTTGGAGCAAAGGATCCCCCCCAATCTAATTTAGAAAGCCTTGACAGATAAAATGGCAAAGCAGATGTTGTCAAGGGATGGAGGCTGATCTGAAAAGGAAAGAGTTTGGTGACAGGTTTAAAAAGGCTCTGGGGGATAGAAGCTGCATTCTGTCTATGCTCTCATCTTGCAATGCTAAATATCCCTTCCAGGGGCTTTTGATTTATATCATGTCAGCTAGGGAGGGAAAGCAAGGAGTTAGCATTACAGCTTAGTCAAATGCCATTAGTGCCTCCCCCAACCTCCTTTTAATTCATTGAGCAATCAGCCATGCTAGGAAGGTGTGGTCCCCGTGCAACGAAATTACTCTGGCAGAGCACTGATATATCTTGCAGTGATGTCATTAGCCTTATGGCAGGAGCGACAAGCCCGGTACACTTGTCACATTTTTTTAATATCAGCGGATGCTCCTACTTAAGGGTTTGAGTGTATGGTTGTCTCATGCTCTGCAGAATAATAGCAAACAACCTTTCACTGGCTTCAGCCACTTTATTGATTGATAGAATATCTACTATGAAGTGTAGGCTTATAGCCACTTGCTGAAGGTGGGTGGTAGGAGGAGATGTAAATAGCAGAATAAAATGGAAAATGTGATAAATGAGCCCTCTGTAGCTTACCATGCCCATCTTTCTAGTCATTTTGTAAGATTGCCCACAGGTGGCCTCCAAAAACTAAATAGGCTTGGGTACCCAAAATGTTTTTCAATTTCTTATCAACACCAAAATGGATCGCACACCCAGACTTGGATCTCTGTTGTATACAGAGATAGAGTTAAGCACAAGAGGTGATAATTAGGAAAGATTAAATATGCTAGTTGGAAAGCTTGGGTTGTTGCCATTGGATGGTTTGAGGACAGATGTGTTTCTGCCACAGTAGGATTATAAATAGAAGATTATAATTTGGCTTTTGAGCTAGAAGTTTCTGAAAATTTCCCTAAACTTGGAAGAGTAATCTGGTCCATCGTTTAGATAAAGTTTGGCCTATTTCTAACTAATCCTAACTTTTGTTATCCCGCCCATAATGTTTCTCCTTAAGTGTAATTCAGTACTGTTTAAACTTCCTAATTTCTTCTTGTTGTATATTTAGTAATGTTAAAAAATAATCTTGGATTTAAATTTTGTCCTTTATTATACTCTTCTTACTGTCAAATACGGTTTGGGGTGAAAAATTAATTGCTCGTGTTTTTTTCTGAAGGGAAGAGAATTGTAATGTGTTTTAAGGAGAGATCAGTTGAGAAACAGAACAAGTAGTTAATAGCCAATAGATAAATGTTGATAGTATTTATAAGAATGTATATTTGTGAATGTATTTGAAAGGAAAAAATAAAAAACTTTATGCAAAAAGAAAAGAGAGAGAAACAGATCAAGAGCCAGATTTAGGAATTGGAGTGCAGCTGCCTAACTTTTTGGTTCATCAACAGTTTACAAAGTGATGATAGAGCATCAGCTTCCAAATACAAACACATCTGTGGGTCTTGGTTTTTATAAAAGTGGTAGGGCACAAATTCTCCACAGCCAGATGCATTGTACCCCAACCAACAAAAAGTTTGTACAGAGAAGCACAGCTTAGCCAGAGGGAAGTTTATAACTGGAAGTGGTACTAGAGAACAGAAGAGACAAGCATTTTAACACAGAGAAAAGTAGGATGAAACTAGATATAAAATTATTTTGTTCTTCTTTTACAGACACTGAACAAGAACAATTTAATACCAGATGACAGGACCAACTTCTATCCTTTGCAACAAACAAACGTGTACACAACAACCTATTATCCCAGTACACTCAATAAATACGACTACAGGCCCGAGGCCTCCCCTGGAAGGACCTTTACTAATAGCTGATGATGATCTGCCTAAGAACTGGATTACTTCCTATATGTTTTTTATTTTTAAAATTGAGTTTATGGACCAAATATTGGCCCAATCTATAGGTGTAAATATTATAAGTGGGCCTTTTATTTTCTCTCTTATCGGTGGTCTTACTTTCAAGTAGCACATCTCCTTAAGTGGATCTTCTGCTTATGGATAATGGGTGGTCTAGGATATTTGAGGAGTATTCAGCTAGAGATAGCAGATCCTTTACGGATATCACAGTTTGAGTTGTCCCTTCGGTGTCTGATACCAAGATAATCCTGGAACCAGCCCTTATGTGCTAAGTTTGCGTGGAATGATATGACTATCCAGTACAACTTCGGAAATTCTGTGGACATTGAAAGAGAAATCCTAGCAAAGTGCTGAGACTTATTCTTCATATGCCTACAGGTTAATAGTATTAGGAACGTCATCCATCAGACATATTCAAGAGTTCGGCTTTTAAGCTTCAGAATCATCAGCATTTTCTGTGACATGGCAAATATATGCAAGCAATCTTTAGTGGGAAAAATCCTGTCAAGATTTATAAAACAAATGAGATAACTTCACACAAGAGAAATGTTTTGAAGCATTTCTAAACAAAGTGGTAAGACTTTTAAGTTTGGATACATGAAGCATGGGCTTTGGATGCACAAAAGATGGTTGATTCTCCTGGACAATAGGAAGAGAGTGAAACAAGAGCCATGGAAGATTCTGATAGAAACTTCCCTCTTCTTGCTTTGATTCCAGGAGATTCTTAAGACACCGTTGGACTGATGGCCCTCTGCCCTTGTTGAAATTACCAAGCTTTGTGCTAATGCTGATTTTATTTTTTATAATTTTTTATTCACTTGAACAAAGAAAAGAATATTGATTTCAGTATGTCTCTAAAGAATGTCTCCATAGTGTAGCCTAACCCAGAAAGCCTACGGCAAAGTCCTTTAGTGTCTTCCAGCCAAGAAAGAAATACAATGTACATCAGTAGCTGCCATTGTTCACTAGTATTGGAGCAAGAAAGATAATTATTCTGCTCCAATTAAAATAAACGGGGATCTGTAGCATTTTGAAACAATCCAACCCAGCCTTCAAAGATTATCTTTTATGCTGCGTTACACCAATGCGTCTAGTCGTGTCATTTTGGGCTAGATGAGTCTCTTGTTAATGATACTTTCTCATCATCTAATGTATACATTCTTGGTGCTAAGCAGTGAAGATGGCCGCAATATATATAGCATGGGATAAGAATGTAAGTCAGTTCCTACATGAATTCTGATCTGTTTGCTGTTGCTGGATTGTCTGTGCTTTAAGCCATTGGTTTCCAACTCAGGTTGACTAGCATTGAACACTGAATGGACAGCTGCTGGTAGTACCTTCATTAATGATCTATTGGAAGAATTGTCTGAGAGATGGCACAGTCCAGACCCTACACCCAAGCAAGAAAGCCAGACTGACAAGTTACTCTAAAATGACTCAGGATGCTGTTTTAAAGTGACAAAATGATCCAGGGCTGATACCAGCATCTCATTCTACCTTACAGAATCAGAAGTCATAAAACAAGCATTAGTGCCTAAGCTGTGAAAAACCCTGGCTGAGTGCATGGGACAGATATGATTTAGTGATTCAGATAGGATGTCCTCTACGGATCTTTCTGTTGGCTAATGAAAGAGAGTGATTGGGCAGTCAAATTGCTACAGGCTCCTAACCCAAACTAAGCCCTTGTAGGAAGGTCAAGTTCCTGTGAGAGCAAACTGTGTACATTTCACCAGCAGAAGCCGCTGCTTGTGCAGATCTGTAATAATTGGGATACTTCTTATTAACTAATTAACACTTGAGGTCTGTAAGAAATTGTTGGACGACGGCCAGAGTGAAGCATTGTTTCAGACAAGAGTTCCATTTTTTGCCAGAATTCATTTTGCAGCAGTAACTGCAAATTAAGTATTCATTATCCTGTTGTTTTGCTTGAGTTTTTTTGCCATGTGGGGATCCAGGTAGATTTTTTCCAGTGACTTAAATAGTGGGTTTTCATTCATTTTACATATTTTTTTTTCTTCAGATATCAGAAATCATGGCATATTTCAGGGCAGGGATATTTTTATGTACTCTATCGCAATTCTTTCTTCCCAGGGACCCAAATGTGAAAAATGATAGGCTTTCAAAAATAAGAATCACCATTCTTAAATCAGTTGCATATGCTCCTGAAAAGAAGAAAATCGAGGGAAGCAGTGGGTAAAAAGTAATTGGAGCTATTAACCATGCAGTGTCTGCTTGAGGGTGGCATTTTTTCTAGCCCATGTTAATGCTTCCTAATTCACAGGGAAGGCTATTGACATGAATAGTCTTCTGTCTCCCATGGCTTTATGCTTTAGGCACAGGCTGCTGGTGTTCTTGGTGATCAGTCCTTTCCACTGTGGAGGGATTGTCTAAATGCTTGCTTTCCCATGTGCTGACTGCAATACCAGCGCAATGGGAATTTCATGCATTTTGCAAACAGCGTTCTCCCTGAAAGAAACAAAGCTCCGGTCCCTCTGTTGGGCAACCAGATTGTCTTGCCTTTGATATGGCAATAGGCCCACATGTGTTGAGGTGTACCTCAGTCTTTTGCTGCGTGAGAAGAAAAAAAACACCTCAAAGTATTCCCACACTTACCAGATCATTCTTCAGTGCTGTCCAGAAAGCTGCTTTGGAATATCAATCACAACACCAAGGGAGAGACCGGGGTGGACGTGGGGATAATGAAATTGAATTTTAAATTACATTAAATGCAAGCTTCTGGGGAACTGGGTCTTAATAATCTTATGGTCAGGCATCAAGGAGATGTTTGCAAAAGTCTACTATTTAAAAAAGCACTAGAATGAAAGCCAAATGGATTAAAGCCTTCCCATTTCTTACACTTGATAATGTCAGCTGCTTATTTGGGTGACTTTAGGTGGCATCTGCAAAATCTAACCAAGCAGCTGTGAAAACGAGTCGCTAAAGCTAGTTGTAACTAATAGTTATTTCAAAGGGCTGTACAGAGTCCGAGTAAATGGCTGAAGGGAGCACCGCAGCCATTCAGGTGTTTAGAAGTGAGATTTGAAACTTTTCATTAATTCTGATCTTCACTTGATAGTTTGTTTCCTTCATTAGAGAGGAATTGGAAGAGGGAGGGAGTTTTTCATATTTGGATAGGACGGTCTATTAACACCTTTCTTTTTCATAATTAACTTCTGTGATCTTTTGGGTGTGGGAAATTATTGCTATACGTGTTTCATTATGGATCATTATCTTATTACATTAGCTTTTAATAGGTACGGTTTTTAGAGATTTGGCAATTTGCTATTACACACTCTGGTTCAGCAATTCCTTACTGGCAGCTCTAAAAACTTTCTTCCCAGAAGAGCTGAGTCGTGTAAATGGAATTGACAGCTCCTGCTGCTGCCATCCTTCCAAGGAAGCCATATTGACAGGAGAATGTGAACTGTGCATCTTGGGAAACCTTCCAGGTTCTGAATTGGAGCCAAAGGGTCCAGTGAGTCAAAGGAGGAAGAGCTGATCAGCCTGTTACAAGACTGTCCTTCAACAGTTTCTCTGTGTTCCTGTGGTTTTCTTCAGTGGTGTCTTCTTCTATCACGATAGGAATACGGAGCATGTTTACACTGATAAAGCAACCAAGCTTCATCACAACTCTATGCCAACCATGTACTTACTCTGCTGTCTATTTCTGCCAGGGCACCAAAATGCAATGTGGGTCATTTGTGTTGTCTCTTCTCTAACTTGAGGAAATACGGTCTCCTTTGCTGAACTGTCGTGACGCCATCCTGAACTGCCCGCTGGTCTAGAGACTGTTCCAGAGCACGATCCCGAATTAACTGCTGGGTTCATTTGATGCGTATCGTTCTTAAATAAAGATGCCTAGTATCGCGGGATTAAGAAAAACCTGGAGAAGGAAATGTCATTCCAAGGGAGAATGCGTATTTCTATGACTCACCCACATCCGAGATACACATGTATACCTATTGCCTTATTTTTTTTTTTAGAGAATGATACATTAAATTAAGATCTATATAAGAAGTGGGAATGATTTGAATTCTTTTCAGAGCATAATTTAGGACTATAATTTCCTAGCATTATGAAATCTATTGAGACAAAAATATCATTCAGAGTTTAATCTGTGTAATCATTACTCACGCTGAATGTGAAATTTTCTTACCCATGCAAACTATAAATTCCATGAAATCCTCTTATTCAAACACTGGTAAATATATTGTTATATATTTATAACAGAAATGTTATATATTTACTGCTGAATGTCTAAAAAAATAAATTTAGAATAAAATGAAAAAGAAAAAACAGAAAACGGCAGCACTAAACTTTCCTGATAATGTTAAAGGAAATCCTACCCCAGCAGATTTTAACAAACACTTGGTTTTTCATAGATCAATGATTTTTTCATTGTTTAATGAAAATTGAAAAGTTGACTTTTTAACTAGAAATGTTCATCTTCCCCTGAAAAAAAAAATCCATTCCTGTTCAGAATGGCAAAGTAAACAATGTTTGTATTTGCTCATACTTTATGAATAAACAGCCCAAATTGACTTAGTACTTTGTTGCAATTGTCTTAATTATCAATAAATGGATGTGAAGCTAGAACTTCAAAGTTAACCATTCAAGCTTCTTTCCAATTTTGTTTTTATAATTTTGTCGCAGACACCTATGGCATTTTGCAATCTCATTTGGCATGCAAAGTTGACTCAAGTCATGACATTAGTTGGGTGATCACTTCCTTTGGTTTGCTGTTCAGAACTACTCAGATGCAGCCATTCAATGCTGCCTGTTGGGAAATGATTCCTGGGTTATGTGTATTTGACAATGAGTGGGGGTATGAGTGTACAGTGAAAGCCAGTTTGGTGTTATGGCTGAGGCGCCAGATTAGAAATCAAGAGGCCATGAGTTCTAGTCTTGCCTTATATCAGGGGTGTAAAACTGGTAGCCTGCGGGCTGGATGTGTCATGCATAGGCCATGCCCACCCCAGCTCTGCAAATGGAAAAAAACATTGCAAAACATCACATGGCAGCAATGTGATGCCGCAAGTTTGACACCATGCCTTAGATGAAGCCAGTTTGTGTCAGGTGCTGCTTCATTTAATAATCAGTAAAGAAACTACTCAGCTCCATTCTTAGAATTAAGTGTACTTTTACTAATTACAAACGATGAGTAGCGAAGCAAAGCTGAGTCTGAGTAAATTGGCGTGAAAGCAATGGATATCATGTATAATTCAATCCCCTCCCCTTGGCACCCCATTTCATAGTCCAATAATAATTTACTCAACTGTCAGGTGGGAGATGTCTTCAAAAAGCATCATCAGGGTGGAATGCTGGACAGTTGGCCTTGGCGGGAAACTCCCTTCTTCCACATGCGCAGAGAGATGGTCAGAGCAACTCCTAATAACAATCCTCCAGCACATAATGATTCCCCTTCCAAACACCATGCCCCCCCCTCCCCGTTTCAATGGCAGCCAAAAAGCAGCAGCGAAGCAGAGACTGACATTGGGGCTGGAAGACCAAAAACTGACCTTCAAGGGTCCTATTAGCCAAACTTTTCCCATGGGCTGGGA